GACACATTAGACAAAGACCCATCTCTTTTGAGAAGTCTATAATGCTGAGAGAGGTGTAAGGAATAAATAGATAAGATAAAACAAGTAAATAAAAATTTTGAAAACTTCTTAGGTGAGTAAGAAGATTGCAGATGGCTCCATCTGGATAATTGTCATTACCATAGCAAACAGAGCCTTTACTGAATAGCAACCAGCATCCATATTATTCTGAAAGAAACGTGGGGGACTGTAGTTAATTACCAGCCATTTTATTCTAACAGAACCCTTATGTCTTTTAATCCTGCATGATGGTAAATTTCCACATCACTGCATCCCCGTGTTGGGTTGGGTCATATGTATATTTAAGCTTCTTCCCGAGCAGTTTCAAAGGCTGCTTTTGAATTGGGGGTAGGGGTAGGGGGGAGGAGAGAAGTCTTACACAGGAGCCAGTTGCTTCCTTTGCTGGTGTCCTGCTTGAGACTGTGGGCAGACAATCCCTATATAGTCTCTGTGGATACTCCCTGGCTATCCCGTAAAATCTTGGGGTGAGGGAATATGAATTGTATGTTATTTCAAAATAATTATGTCAAGATATGAAGTGAAATTAAGAAAGATTTATTAAGATGAGAAAAATTACAATTATCATTCTTTGGAAGAATTTTTGTGGTTAAAAATGAATGTGTTACCTAGAATGATGTTTTTATTTTAAACAATACCTGTTTGAAAAATGACACACCTTTCGAGCAATGGCAAAAAGACATATCCAGATTTATATGGCAGGGTAAGAAACTAAGGGTTAAATTTAAAATTCTTCAGGGTGCAAAAGGAAGAGGAGGATTAGGATTGCCTCATTTTAAATTGTATTTTGCATCCTGCTGTTTGGTTTGGATGAAAGAGTGGGTGTTACTGAGAAATAGAAGAATGTTAGAATTAGAAGAACATAACCTGAAGTTCGGTTGGCATGGCTTTTTATGGTCTATATTTAAAGTTAATATAGATTTTTAAAATTATTATGTGAGAAGTGCCATACTAAAAATATGGAATAAATACAAGCCACAAAATACCTTTATTGGTCTCAGCCCAAGAAGCATTTTATAGAAAAGAAACAACGAGCAAAGAGAAGTGGTTAACATATCAAGACTTATTAATACAGGAAGATGGACAGCTAAAGGTGAAGTCAACTGCAGAGAGATTTAGTTTTAAATGTTTTATTAAGATAAATATTTAATGTAGATAAAAAGGTAATGGGGATTGAACAACATAGGATGGAATCTGAAAATGAATTGTGTACAAATGGTGAACATGTGACTGCAAAAGTGTATAAACTTTTGTTGAAATCTGAAACAAAAGAGGAACAAGTTAAAGATTGCATGATAAAATGGGCTAAGAATGTCGGCTAAAATATGCAGATGGATCAATGGGAGAGAATGTGGATAAAGGGACTGAAATTCACATTGTTATTATTTGAGAGAATTTTTACAAAATGATGTACTGTTGGTATATGACACCAAAGAAATCTAAGATGTATAAAGGTACTTCTAGTCAATGTTGGAAATGTGAAAAACATGAAGGGACATTTTACCATGCATGGTGGACTTGTGAAAAAGAAAAAAGAAAAAAAAAGTAATAAAAACATGATACAAAGAATGTTGAAGATTAATATTGAGATGAAATCAGAACTCTTTTTATTGGGACTTATGGATAGCCAATTGGAAAAGACCTATGGAAGACTGATTTTATATATAGTAACTGCAGCAAAAGTATTACATGCACAAAGATGGAGAAATACTGAAATTCTTACAATGGAGGAATGGACTATGAGGATGGCAGAACTAGCAGAGATGGCAAAACTGACCTGTTTGGTCAGGGACAAGACAATAAGTATTTTTTACAAAAGACTGGAAACCTTTCATGGACTTTTTGCTAAAAATGGAAAAAAGTGAAATGGTGATTTTTGGATTTGACAATTGAAAAAAGATTGAATAAGGGGCTGAAGGGATTATTGTAATGTTAATAGAGGGAGGAGGGATAATGAGTTTGTTTGTAACTGCTGTAAAGAAGGGCAGAAGTCACCTCTTTAACTTTTTCTTTCCTTTCTTTAACTGTATTCTTTTCTGCCCTTTTTTCTTTTTCTTTCTTTTCTCTATATATTTCTGTATTGCCTTTTAGCTATATAAGAACTTTTAATAAAAATTAATTAAAAAAAAAGAAATCTTGGGTAGAGGGTGAACTCAGAAGTAACAGGCAGCAGCTGGCAACGATGGACACTTTGGAGAGATTTTCATGAAGTGATGCTGAAGGAGAAACGAGAATGCAGCGGATCCTCCTCTCAGCTGCCCACCCTCCCAAAGCGTGTGGTCCTCCTTATGATCTAAGCTCAGGCTTGTTATGTGCAGGTACACCTGCCATGGGAGGGTAGATCATCAGAGGAGCACCTTAGCAGCAGAAGTTGCCAACAGCTTGATAGGTTCTTGGAACTTCTTCCATTCAAAAGCAGCTTTTGAACTGCTAGGCAAAGAATATAATACATACTTCAAGGTTGTTCTCCTTTAGCACAATGTGTATCAGCACACTCACTGGGCAGATTGTTCAAGAAGTTGCTGTTTTTCCCACTGCATGTTAGGTCCTAAATGCATTTGGGGTTGGCAACTAGTAGCTTCCCTGCTTTGGACTAATAGCATTTGTATCTAATACTGGGGAATACTGCTACACAACTAAGTAACTGTGGGTTGTATATGGTAATACACCCTCTCTGCTGCAAGGGACCGTGTCCGTATGGACACGTCTTACATTCTTTTCTTGAGGAAAGAAAGTTTTCACATCACCCTACCCCAAACCTTATTTACTTTTGGGAGTTTAGCTAGTCTTTGCAACCCCACTTGCAAGGACTAAAACTCCCCCTAGGAAATTTCTATTTCAAAACTTAAGGCAATGTAGATGTAAAAATTCTGAGAAGCATTAGGATTTCCTGTGCTTAGAAGTTTATCTTGACTGCTTGGGAAAAAAGTGTTTTGTATGGAATACTAAGTTCAACCTCAGAACACGGTAAATATGAGGAGAGAGTGTTGGAATATGAAGCCAAATCTCTTCCTGGCTGTGTCCAAATGACGCTATAGCTACAAGTGGGCCATACATGCTTAACAGGCTTATACATGCCTTTCTGTAAACTCGGCCTGCACCATGTAGTTAGTTTATATTTTGTATGAACCCAGACAAAGTGTCCAGTTGGGTCAACCACAGTTAAGTAAACTGGAGTAAGCATATTGTGCAAAGATGGATTCCTTTGTTAGAGCTTCTAGAATCTGGTTCTGTACAAGATGAGACACATGCAATTACAATATTCTTAAGATCATCATTGACTGTAGTCAATATATTTATCTACAACAGTCATTTATACAGTTTTATATTACATATAACTAAGAACTTTATTCTGGAGAAAGACTGGATCCATACTAGGTTCCCCACAGGTTTCATATTCTCCCCAGTGGGCCTAAATCTACCTATTTTCCCCCCAAGTGCATCATTGCTGTTTGGTTAGCAAAGCCACTATACCACCTTGAGGCTGTAGTTGCATTATAATGTAATTTTCACATTAAATTACCATGCCAGTGAAGAGAATGCCATTGTAGTCCTCTCTTTATTAATATAATTAGAAGGTAAGGTTGCATCATTGTGAATAATATTACATAAATAATGTACTTGAGTTATCCAAATTAGTTCATATATATTATTTCAGCAAACCTAAACACATTTATAAGGAAGATTGGTTATTATTGTCATGTTTAGGTTGTATAGAAGGCCTGAAAAAATTAAAGCCTCCAACTATCCAATAACCCACATTTGGTCCCATAGTGAATTTATGATTTACCTCCATATGCCTCATCTTAGCATATAGTGGCTTTTTGCTATCTGAAATTTCAAAGGGAAAAGACTTCTAGGGCCTGATGCAATAGCCAGTGAAGACTTTAACTAAGTTAACTAAGTTAACATGTACAACCATTACTGCAATTGTTCTGAAACCTTATTGTACTTCTCCAATTTTCCTTTTCAAACCAATTTTGTCATTTTTATGACTGCTTGAAAAGCTTCCTGATTGAAACTCGACTCTATTACTAAGTTCGGTAAGCATGTCTTCCTAACCTATATCTGAACATTCTCAAACTGATGTTCAGTAGTCAGATTCAAGTTAACTTTAATGCAAAATAGAAAGATGAGTGTGATTCTCACTTGCTTTACTGTTCAGGCCTTGGTCATACGCAATTCTTTGCCAGACATCCAGTCTTCTGAATGATCACTTAGATGCTCTGACTATTCCTCTTCATAATTTACCAGCACATTTGAGAAACTGCATCTTACCAAATTTATTAATCTGAATACTCCAATATGCTTTTAAATTAACCATGTATTATTGCCCATCTTCTAGGACCTATTTGTGGCTACAGTAAGCATTCTAATCCTTCTCTACACTATGATCCAGTATTTTGGTACTCCACTTTTATTTAATATAAATAGTGTGATAAAAAACTGAGTCTGATCCAAATTTCACTTCTGCATTGATTGGTCTCAAGGAAATCACCACTTTCAGTTATCTGCAATATAGGTGCTAACACTTAGCATGGCTGTATGAAATGCTCAGGTTCTCTGAAGTTCTTTGAACACTCTAGCATCCTAAACAAAGTATTTTGAGTTCCAGTACTTTTCCAAACTGATTTTTCTTCCTTCTTTTTCACTTACTCTGCAAGTCAAAGCCTGAAGCCCAAATTGAACATTCTGAATTAATCTGTTGTTATCTCTAGAAATCTTATTATTTTTTCTTTCTTGATTTATCAGTTGCAGCAGCAAACTAGATACCCAAACCAACCATAATCATAATACTTTCTGCAAAAGAATCCAAAAGTTTGTTTTTTGTTCCTTGAAATTAAACCAATCCTGAATTAATCTAACCCACATATCCAGTAATCCATTTACTATGAACTCTTTTTAAGGAGAAGAAATAAGGGCACAAAGTGGAGGCTACCATCTTTTAAACATGTATGTAGTTTTTATTTATACAAGGATAGAGAGAATGTAGCAATCTTTGCTTTTACTTGCGATCACTTAGGCTTAGCACTACTAATAAATTGCTAGAAATTTAGTTTAGGTTCAGATAGTGGGATTTTGGCTGGGAAGTGAAAAAATGAAACCTCCCATCCCACACCAAACATTAAAACTAGGGAACATCTAAATTTATACATGACAAATAGACAGAATGTTAATTCTCTCAGGAAGAATGGGAATTGCTCCCCTACTGCTGGAAGAGATATTCCCAAATATAGACTTTAGGATACGTTGCAAAAGAAGGAGAAGAAGGAGGAGGAGAAGGAAAAGGAGAAGGAGAAGGAGAAGAAAAATAACTATTTCAGCAATCTCTTACAGCTTCGCCCGTTCAAATTTCTAATCTTAAACTCACAATTCACAGCAACTTGTTTCATTGCCAGCATGAATAGCTTTTGCTGTTAGACATTAGGCCTGGCTAGTGGCATCCTGGGAGGAGTAGGGATCAGAGAATTTAGGATTAGACCTACTGGAAGGCATCCTCCCCTCCCACCCACCCCCACACTTTTATGATATAGACCTGGCAATATTTGAAACTAGCATTAACATAAGGAGCCACTGGATGTAAGGAGGGGCATCAGTAAGATGTGCCAAGGCTACTCCTGGACAGCAAGAATATGTTTTTCCATTAAAATCTGATCCATTTCACACTGCAGGAAGCAAGGGCAAGAGAAACACTAAGAAGCTGCTTTCCCAGAATGGAATGATTGGGAAAAAGAGGTGGCACAGGGATAGCAAAGTGTAAATTTTCTTTTGTTAATATCTCTAGCTAAGTGTGTCCTACAATCTTGTTATCCAGTTTTGGAAAGTGGCAGAGTTTGTGGTCCTCAGGAACTGGATACCTCATATTGGCTTGATCTAGGTTTCCTCTGTGGCAGAGCCTTGGCTTCTTTGTTGAGTGGGACCAAATGTGTCTGTAGGGATGGGGCTGGTGGACCTGGTTCAGGACCAGTTCCAGTTCCATTGATTCCGGTGGTGCAAGTCTGGTTGAGGTTGTTTGGATTTCCAGGGGGTGGTCGGGCCCTGAGGTTGGACTGGTACCAAGACCCATTTCTGTAGCGATTTGAATTGAGGTGTGATGAGCCATTCTGGCGTTGTCCTTGGGACCTGTAACCTTGACCAGATCTTCTATTTCCCTGGAACCCCTGAAAGAGAAAGAAAGGTGGGGGTGGGGAGATCAGTGTGATCAGTACCAATATTACCTGGCTACTTTTTTCCATACTCAGAACAGGGTAAAGATCCATAGATGCCAAGGATATTGTTCTACAACCAAATCAGTAGAACATCTTGCCAGAACCCTAACCTCTAAGAGGTTCTGAAAATATAGCACTCCACTCTTTTCCTAACCATATACAATTAGAATTTAGGCAGCATTTTTAGCCTTATATTACTGCATATTAGCATTCTTTACTATACAAGTGATGCTAAGAAGATGCAATAGCCTAGAATGTTTCACTTGAATGCTGTCAATCCAGTATTTAAAAATGGGAAGTTATTTTAAATTTGATGCACGTTCTAGTAGAGTTGAATTTTCATTCCAAGTGTTGGCTTAAGACAAGCAACTGTAAGATTAAAAGTGTGGTGTGACAACATATGTGTAAAAGGTGGGGCCTTCACTTTCCCTCTCTAAGTGTAAAAAACACTAAAGATGACCCAAGCCTAGCCAATCTCCAGGCTGCTCTAAACTGCAGAAACAACATTAAATCATTACCTCCCGGTGGGAGTGGTATGGACGGCTTGTTGCACTTGTGGAAGTTTCTACAGGGGATGATGGTTTCTTATTGGCCATTATGAGGCTAGGAGAAGAAGCAGAGGCACACACTGTGGTAGTGGACTCATCCGGGCTGCTCACAGCCATGGAGGTAATGGAGCTACAACGTGACCTGGTTGAATAACTGTTCTTTGGATGTGAAACTGAAACAAGAACAACAAAAACCCGTTTCTTTTATCAAAACTATTTCACACATTTTCTGTAATGTAAAGGTGAATCTGCCCCGCACCCCACCCACAACCAGTGATACATTTTCCAAACCCTTACACAATCAAATTGCAACTAAAAGAAAAAATGCTCCCATCTCAGCTCCTGCAGCGCCCCTGCAGTAGCCGCTGCCGCCACTTGACAGGCTCCTGAGAAGGTGGGAGCCAAACAAGGGGGAGCCGTGGGCCTGCTGGAGGGAACCTGGAGGCAGAGAAATACTGAAGACGCTGGAAGAGGCAAGGCACAATCCAATGAGAATCTGACAATCTTAGTAGGCCCAAAGGTACACTAAAACTGGAAAATAAAAAACAGAACTGGCGAGCAGAGAGAAAAAGCCTGCAAATGCATTTTTGTATAAATGAAGGGCTTTCACTTCACTGGTACTGCAACAGGGCTTCAAACATTTTTTGTTTTTTCTTAAAATCTACAGTGTCGGGCTATGTCAATGGAGGCTTCCAAACAGAGGTCCCTGTTTCACCATATTAATTTGAAATATTTATAGTGTGCCCCCTATCCAAAGGATATATAAAATGTAAATATATAATATGTATAAAATAAGCAAGGTAAAGTTTAGTAAAAGCATGTATATAACTTAATTCAGAAATACACAGTAATAATATCAAGACTAACAGTGAAACATGTAAGAGACCTAGACCCTTAACCTTTCCTGAGCTGATAAAATTCTGAGCAGGGCCTTTTCAGGTGAAGGCCACAGGAAAACATGTTTTCATTAGAAATGCTTTTACCACTCACATGTGTTTACTTCAGTTCAGCTTTATCCCATAATTGCTGTGTTTTTGTTTTGTGTGAGTACCCAGGTTATACAATGTTTAGTCCAGCTCACCTTGTCCAAAGGATTCAATGCTTTTCTTTAGCACATCAAGGTCACAAGTGAAGCGAGCCACCCTTCCAAGATCTTCATCATATTTGCGCTCACTAACAAAGTGCTGCAGAGAAAAAAAATATAGGCATGTTAACATTATACATAAAGCACATTAATGGTTTAGAAGAGAAGGTGTATAGGGATCAACCAAAGCACAAACTGCATATATTTTTCTCTGATTCTACACAATTGCATAAAAATAAACAATTGGATTTATTATGCAAGATAACCCCACCAGCAAATAATAAATGGTTTAAAGATGGAACTGTTGACAGAACAGCAGTTATCAGGGTGATTTTTTTCCATGCAGCGAGAGTTTATTGGAATTTGAACATAACTTCATTCTGGCCTCTAGTGGTAGGCAAAGGAAGCATTTGTCAGAGTTGCTGGTTCATGCAACACAACGCACCCAAGATCAACTCTTTGCAGTTACAATCAAATTATTATTCAGCTCTATGGATATTAATAAATGTGAAAAAGGTTCAGACAAAGTCTTCAACTTGGTTTTTGAGTTTCAAAAATGCTCTTTTATTAAAAAAAACCCAATGCTTTTGTTTTTCAGTCCATCCTGAACTTAAAAGTTGCTGCCAGCTCCAGTACTGAAATTGCCTGTTTCAATTTCAAACGCTAAAGATTAAGACCCTAAATACGTACTCTACTGTAGCTCTCCTGCAAAAGAGGAATATAAGGAAATTTAACTACAATAGGGAGTGTAATTTCTCTGTGCATGTTGTGGCTGCACTTTGACAAGAACTCTGCCCCAGTTGCCTAGTCTGTGTGGATTAGAAAAAGATTTATATAGCCCAAAGCAGTCTGAGATTCACCTTTATGTCAGCTCTAAGTTCTACCAGCTGCTCTTCTGACATTCGGACTGCTACATCAGTTAGTTTCTTCAGTGCCTCTGCCTTCTTTTGGCGGCTGCTTAGGATTTCCACTATAATGTAAAATAGAACCCCAAAAATGCAGTCACATTTCTTGAGCATTTATAATGAATATTTATTATTGTTAATCAACTCATGCACAAAACAGAATGTATAATCACTGCAAATCTAATTCCCGCCTCCCTCCTGCCCCCGTTCTGCCCCCCGCCAATATTTTAGTTTATCCTTCAACTAAAGGATAAACTAAAAGTCAACTCAAGCTTTGCAATACACCTGAAAAATGCTTGAGGCCTTGGAAAACACCTAGGAAGCTGGCGTTCGTGTCATGGGACAATCACCTAGAGGACACTGAGAAGTCTCCTAAATTGACAGACTCTTATCTAGCTCAGGCTCAACACAAGAAATCTGTGAATAGGGTCTTTTTACTTTGTCTCTCTCTCTTTAATAAAAAATTGAAGAAGTTATCAAGTCAAATCGGTTAATTGTTTACTTGACTGCAATGCTTTGGGTGGGGCGCAGTTTGTAACTCTTTTCTCCTGTACTCTTTTCCCAATGCATGATGCTGCGTCAAAGCAGTTATTTTGCCATATAAAGAGAAAACCATATAGATACTACAATAAAGCCCTGAGGAACAGAAGTCTCTTAGTATGTTATGCATAGCCATTTAAGGTCAATATGAACACTTTCAATATTATCACCATGAGCTAAGGTTCTCATGCTTTTTGCCAGAAAAAAGCTACTTCTGTACAGTCATCAGGCCAGTTCCAAGCAAAATACATTTTAATAGCTTTACCCACTGCTTCAAGTTTTAAATGCTGTTTTTTGCAAGTTAGCAACCAATAGAAAGAACTGCAGTTTTTCTGTTGAGAGGGGGATAATAGGGATTGCTCCTTTTATATACAGGTAGTCCTCAGTTAACAATGGTAATTGTCCTGGGATTGCCATCGCTAAGCAATGTGGTTGTAAAATGTGATGTCATGGGACCACGTTGCTTAGCAATGGCAATCCCAGCACCCCCCACTGCTGTCATTAAGCGAGGATCATGGATCGTTAAGTGAGTCCCAGGTGGCTTGCAAGCAGGCTGGTGGACAGGTAAGTGGCTGCTGCCAGGTGGGGGAAGGTGTGCAGGTGGCCAGCAAGGTGCAACACAAGTGTGATGGGGCTGGGCTGGGGATGGCTGCTGCTGGGTGGGGGAAAGTGTGAGAGACTTACCAGAGCACCTCGCAATCTTCCCTGCCAGCTTCCCCATTGACTTTGCTTTTGGGAAGCTGGCAGGGAAGGTTGCAAATGGCAATCATGTGACTGCGAGATGCTGCAACTGTTGTAACTGCGAGCGGGTTGCCAAGCGCCCAGATCACAATCACGTGACTGTGTGTGTGCTGTGACGGATGGAACTTTCAGGAGTGTTCATATGTGCCACTCGTTCAATGCCATCATAACTTCAAATTGTCGCTGAATAAATGGTTCTTAAATGAGGACTGCCTGTATGAGCCATATTAATCAAGTTGCATATAAATTAAGAGTCTTCAAGGAGTATGTGTTCCCTTTACCTTGTTCTGGGGAATCCACATCTTTCATAGTACAGTAGTAATAGCAGCATTAGGTTTATTTAGATATGAAGACTATGGAATTATGAACAGTGATCCAAGTCTCAATTCAGACATCAAGCTAGGCACATATCTTATTCTTATACTTTTCAGCATATTTGGACTCTAAAGTGAGAAGTTTCATACCAGTTGGAATGGTGCTGTTCTTCTGGTCACCGAAAATGAGACAGTGATAGTTGTCATCCAGGATGAGTAAGTCAGCACATAAATACACACAGAGAGGTTTTAGGAGCACTCTGTTTAGCACTATTTTTAAATGAGAAAATCCCCCATGCTGTTCTGGTGTAGGGGTAACTTAGATTAAATATGGCACTACACTTGGAAAATAAGTAGAGCATAACCAGGTCTTACCCATGTATATATAATTACAAGTTATTTGAGACATGAACCTATACAAGTAGATGTGATTAAAAAATAGCCGATGTGCATATATATAGTATGGGGTTTACATATCTGGAAACACTGTGGAAATGGAAACCCTACTTTGTATTTTGTCTTGCACTGCTCACTTTAAAAATCCAGTGGTCTTGTACAGTTTCAGTACAAAGATAACAGCATAATTGTGCTTTTTAAAACTTACTTGCTTCTGCTTTTACTTTGTCCATTTCACCTAGAAGGGCTACTTCTCGATCCATGAGGCTACAGGATGGATGGATGGATGGATGGATGGATGGAAGGAAGGAAGGAAGGAAGGAAGGAAGGAAGGAAGGAAGGAAGGAAGGAGAGAAAGATTAAAATTCTTATATTCATAGGCTATATACCACATTACAGAAACCAACCAAGCTATTAATCAGATGGTAAGAAATAAATTAGGACAAATTTCTACCTCCCTGATGAAAACAGTTCCCTGCTGTACACTAAGCTTTCAAACACTGAATGGATCGATATCACTAACAAGGAACAAGCCAACAAACAGCAGCTGAAAGCTGCAATTTTTTTGAGATTTCCAGCACAACTTCTCTTTCTTGAGTTTACTAACAGAAACCCCACATGGTTCATCGTTGTTTTGGTTCCAAAAATCACCTTGACATTTTAAGCTGTAATCTCCAAAGTTATCTACAGTTTTCTAATCTACTTTTAATTCCCATGTAACAATCACTGTGGCCTATAAAAGCATTTAATTGCCTGGAATTCTCATATTTCTTCTTCACTGTGATTTCCTCTGGGTTATCCATATGGGTGAGTTTAATTACTGATGGTGGGACAAGTGTTCAAAAGAGAATGAAGACAGGCTTGCTGCACTAGAAGAGCCATTCTGACAAAATGATTCATTGAGAAAGTAATACTGAACAAACACTGATGGTCCTAGGACCAGATCTATACAATTCAAGAATCACTACATATGTAGGTAAATACATAGCTAAGGTGGTATGATCCAGTACAGACTGGGTTCCTTTGCCAGCTCACAGCATAACAAAATAACAGTGTTTTACACGACACAGGTACCACTTTCTTATTCCTTCAGAGTACAGGTAGTCCTTGCTTAACAACCATTCATTTAATGACGATTCAAAGTTATAATGGGCTCAGAAAAAGTGCTTTACAACTTGTACTCGCACTTACAACCATCACAAACTGTTGCACCACCCCAGGAGGTCACGTGATCCCGATTTGTGACCTTTTTAATGATGATTGTTAAGTAAATCACATGGTTGTTAAATGAATTCTGGCAAAAAATGTCCACTGGGGAAGCTGGATTTGTTTAATGATCACATGATTCGCTTAATGACTGCAGTGATTTGTTTAACGACCATCATAAAAATGGTTGTAAAATCGGGTCTGGTCATGTGGTGACTTGCTTAATGACCACCCTGCTTAACTACCAATTTTCCAATCCCTATTGTGGTAGTTAAGTGAGGACTACCTGTAGAGGAAAACATACTGTTCCTTATGAAGGGCTTCTATCCTCCTAAGCATGCATAGCATACTTCAAAGAGGAAGACAGATTTGGAAAGAAAATAGGAAGAATAAATTCTTGGTTGAAATGAAAGACAGAATAGACTGTGGCAGCATTAGTTCATTCCTATGGAATGCAAAGAACTTATTTATAGGGTGCAAAGATCACTCATACTCCATGCTGTAATATTTGTTGTGAGAAAAAATGGTTGTTTGAAGCCAGAACTTTTTCTTTTAGGATTGATGGATAAACAGAAAAGAGCCATGGAAGATTATTTCAATATATGATAACTGCAGCAAGATTACTATATGCACAAAAATGGAAAGATTCGGCATTACCCACCATGGAGGAATAGTTGGTGAAATTGACAAAACTTGCTGAGATGGACAAACTGACTTCATTGATTAGAGAAAGGTCATTACTGACATTCATCAATGACTGGAAACCCCTTAGGACTTTTTGCATGAGAAAGAAAATGATTTTGTGATTTATGGTTTTGATGATTAGAAAGGTTATAGAAAGAAGAGAATTATGATGAAATTGGAGAGAGTGGTTTGATTAGAATTGTATATGTAACTGCCGAAAGGGATATCAGAAGCCATTTCTTTATATATATAATTTTTTTCATGTTTTCTGTCTTTTTATTTTCTTTTTTCTATCTTTTTGTTTCATTTCATTTTTTTTACACATACTTTGCTATTTTTTCTACTTTTTTTCTTTCTTTGAATGAATTTATCTATGTAAAATCTTTTAATAAAAAATATTTTAAAAAAAGAAAAAATGATCTAATAAATGCAGGATAGTAAATGGGCAGGGATTATTTATAGGCATCATTAGAACCTCTAAAAGTCTCTGAAAAGACATTCGTCTCAGGATTCTCAGCAGAGGCTGGCAGGGCTACCAAGGGCTGCTCACCACGTAGCTGGTTCTACCTTATTTGATCTTCACTACCACCCTCATTAACAAGGAACAAGGAAATAAATAAAACATCATTTGTTGATATCCTATCTTTTATCCACTGTCTCTCTTTCTATCTTCTTTTTTTGTAGCTATTTATTCTGTTCCCTTAAATGTTTTAATAAATTACACCGCCCGCCCCAAAAAACAGTCAACAGTCATATGGGACCTGAACAAGCTCTAAGATTTTCTGAGGGGGTGCTGGGCCCCAATCTCTAAGTATCACATCTGAGAAAGAGATGAAGGAGCCATCTGATGTTTCAATTTTAATTCCAAATTTCTCAGTGGTTGAGATAGATCAGAGTGGTTATCTGTCACACAGCTCTACTGAAACATGCACAGACATGGGTGATAACAGCACATTTTGGATAGCTGCATGAATAGCCTTCTCTTTAGATGCCTCCAGATGAACAATTGGTGAAGAATAAAACTGAATGAGTGAAGGGGCTGAAAGCTTGCATGTCAGAGGCTGAACAGTCCCAGAGCAATGGTTCAGGGGTTGTGGTAATAAAATCCATGGATGATGATACAATTTTAAATCCTAGTAACCATCCACAAACATGTTTCAGCTTCTATTCAGGGCAGCAAGCCAATGGAAGCCAATAAGAACCCTTAGAGTCAGGAGAATCAAGACAGTGTAGATATCAGCCTTTATCCTACTGTTAGAGCAGCTACAGAGTAGAGATCCACTGGTTCCCTATATAAATGAAAGAACTATTACAGGCAGTTCTCACTTAAAGATGGTAATTGGGACTGGCAACTCCGTTATTAAGTGATGCGGTCATAAAGCACATCATGTGACCGTGCCAACTTACAACAGTTGTGGCAGTTCTAGTTCCCATCATTATACAAATCCCACACAGTCATTAAGCACTGTGATTTAAGCACCTTAAGCACAGTTGTTAAGCACCTATTGACTTTGCTTGTTGGAAACTGGCAGGGAAAGTTGTAAATGGCAATCATGTGACCACAGGATGCTGCGACTGTCATAATTTGGAGCCGGTTGCCAAGTTCCCAAATTGTGATCATGTGACCACGGGGGTCCTGCTGTGGCTGCAACTACGGGGACTGGTTGTTAGTTTCCTTATTCAGTGCTGCTGTAACTTTGAATGGTCACTGAACGAGTGATCATTAGAGGACTACCTGTACAGGGGAACCAAAGCGTTTGTGTTTGAATTCTGTGTTTGAATGACAGAATTAAGAGAAGAAATAAAAGCAATCCTGATGGCAAGGCTGATGAAATCACAAGTAATGGATGCCTTTCTCAGACCAATACTATGTAAAAGTGGGCCTGAAGGGCTGAACTGCCCATATACTTTGTATTCTCTTTATTATACCTTAAATCTTCAGTATCAAGTGTAGTCTGCCTGCTTAACTGTTTGGGCTTTAAGTCCCAAAATAATTCTAGTGTTCAAGGCAGTCACAGAGTTTGATCAGAAGTTCCAAAGGGCTGATCAGGGTGGATTTGTGATGTACTTCCAGACATGGATGATTTGTCCTTCAGTAGGAACATCACTAGGACTCAGAATTTACAGATGGAACTTAAGGATTTTAAAGTCTGGGCATCTTGAGCAGTGATATCCAAAACCTGAAAGGCTTGAACACAGAGGGGGACTCTTAATCTGCCTACTTCATTCCTGGCAACGACTGCAGGGCTCCACAACACGTTCCTCTCTTTTGGAAGAGGCAAAGAGAGTTTCCCATCAGGGAGAAGTTTTACTGCTGTACTTTCTGCAATTATAAAATAGCATCTATGGTGCACATGGCCCCAAAAAGATCTATGGTGGAAGAACAGTGCCTACCTCTGATGAAAATAAAAATATAAAACAAAAGGTGATAGGTATTTGATAATGAAAGAAGGAAAGCATACCAAAAAAAGAGTAAACACTTTCCCAACATATTACCATAAAGAAGTCAAAGAAAAATTGAGAATATGGTTTTCAGTTGCAGAGTTGTTAAAAATTACTATAGAACTGAAGTTGAAAACTATGAAAAAGTAACACAGAGAATATCTAGTATGAGGGCTTGATCTTCAGAAAACTGTGAACGCTTCAGTCTGTAAAACAGCAAGGTATTTCTGAAGGCATTTCCTTTTTATGACTAATATTATAAATTCATTTATATTTAAAAAGAAATACAGCCTGCATAATGAGCACATCATGGATTTCTGAAGCAAAGCAATTATGTTTTCAAGGGATGCTATAAAAACATGTTATATGTTCAATTTTAGTTTACAAAATTGTGGCAATTCCGTTTACACTTCTTCCAGCAACTGATTACAGCCAACATATATTAAGAACATAATATTTGTAACACTAACAGCTGCAAGATCAGTTCTCTTGACAGACATTGAACAGGCAATGCTGCGTTTATGTGCCGATACAAATAATTTTCCTCAGAAGTGAACAGAAAGGGGTTTGATCTGTATGCCCTGGTTCGAATATACACAACCTTTCTTGCAGAATGGCAGTGATCCTGTTTTCAGGAAAGGACAAATAACAAAGCCTTGCTGCTTCATTTGACATTTATTAAAGGAGGTTCCATTGGCTTACTTCCAAATAGGCCCTGTAATTCCCTGTGTCACGGAACTGCACTTCCTGGTTTCTGCCCTTACTCTGCCCCACAGCAAGCAGATTTATCGAAACAAGGTCCTTAGCCTTTTAAAACATGACGCATGATGAGGCAAAGATCAGAGGACTGATGCAGGAAGAGATTAACTATAAGTAGCACAGCTAGAGGTTTTTACACTGAAGGAATGATAATTACATAGAGATACCTGTAGAAAAATAGATCATCCGAATGAATGTTAGATAATACTAAATGACAAATCTATTGGCAAAATCCACAACCAGAATTAGTTCTTAATATTAAAGTCATGCAGAGGCTGTTAGCATTCACTTGAGGAATCTTTCAAGATTCCCCTGTGCCTATAGTCTCCATAGGTATTCTTGGAGAAATAAGTCAGATGCAAGTGACCCTCAGTATAAATTTTGCTTCCATTATCTTTCCTAAGGCTGTATCTGGGATAAATACCAAGGATTTATAAATACAAATTTTCGCTATTCAGACCATCCATTTTATAGCAGTACTCTAACAATGTGTTTGATAAGCAACTCCCAGAGTTGCAACAGATTAGGTCGGCCTATAAACCCCACAAGTCCCTTGATCTCAAGTTGCTAAGATTTGAAAATGAAAATGCTTTTTAGCATGGAAAATAATTCTGTCCTTGAAATTTCTATTTACTGAGTGAGATTTCAAACTAACTTTTTAAACTCACACAGTATTAAGCACCATGCTGTTATTTATATATCTGTTTACTGTTCATGTTGTAACTTTGTGAAAAGTGGGAATCAAACTGCCTTAACCACTAGTTCATTTGAAATGCAAATGCAATAGATTTCTCAACCATGATGATGATTAATTACTAGAAGGGAGTGTTCAGTGAAATCCTGTATATGTACAGAACATTTCTCTCTCAACTCTGGCCCATTTTCATCACAAGCTGGTTTCTAAAAATTAGGAGAACATAAAAAGGGACTACCATATGCTGCAATACTATAGATGAACTCCTAAGGCTTCTGTTCTTAGGAACGTGCCATTTCTAAATCCATGACTTCCCTACACAAAGTCACCCATATACACTGTTTGCTTTATTTGGGGATAAAGATGTTATTTGGAAATAGTTTAACTCTGTATCCTAACATCATACCACCAAAATCTGGTAGTCAGACACCATTATAGTTAGGAAATTTTGCATATTTTCCCCCCCAAATAAAAATCCCTAGACCTTTTATAGAACACATGCTCAAGACTGAACCACATGCACTACAATTTGCCTAATCATACTATATAGACCCTGAGGCAAGGACTAGTTTGGTGAAGAAAAAAAGGGAAATTAGAGTTATTCTCGATCAATCCTTTAAAACTATATCCACACTTGAATACTCCAGATTTCAGAGTATTAGCATACCAACTCTGCAGTTCTGCAAAGACCTGCTTCATTTTCTTAATAGAAGCATCCATTTCTTCTTTAACCACAACTCGATATCGAGACAGTGAAACAGTGCATCGCTGGAGGTCTTTTACCGATTTTTCAATATTGGAACCTATCCAAAAAGAACAGACACAGTACTAAAACATAGCAGTCCTTACAAGTTTTCCAGTAATTATCAAAACTACAGATTATTTGCCATGAAGTATTTGGTCATTACAAAAAAAGGGATTCAAAAGAAACTTGAATGCTATTTTGAATGCCATTTCTTCCAAATAATGTTAAATATTTACCAGAAAAAAAAATATTCAAGGAATAAAGCAGCAGCATTGGGTTATAAAAAGAAAATATCCAATTGTGAACAAAACTATAAAGTTCAAACTAAGAATGTCTCTCTCCATTAAAATCAAATCTGCGTGAGAATGCTGTTTCCTCTAACAGGAAAGATGTAAGGCTTAGGTGCTTGTTGCAAAGGTTAGTCTCTCTGCCTCCTATCTTCAAGCCAGCACATTTCCATGCTTCTTTCTGTCACCAGAAATTGCTGAAGTGCTCACCCCCTGCTAAGCTGCTTGTTATGGTCCTTGTTAAAGCAAAAAGCTGAAACACTGCTGCCAAGAGGCAGATATTCCCGTCTCCCCAAAACTATGGATAATGACCATGTTTAGAATCAAGATCTTGAAGGTCTTATTTGCTGACAGGTGGAGAATGGAAGAACAGAAACTAAAAGAAGAAACAGCAAGGAGCTGTTGCTTCTCATTAGCCACTAAGGTTTGTTGAAAACCTGGCTCACACCATGGAAAAAAGTGTGCAAAGCCGGAATAAGAAATATAATGACTATGAAACTATGTTGCAAGTTAGATATATGGAGTGAATCACTGAGTAATGCCAGCTAATTAAACAATCTCAATCAACTAATTCTCCTTTTATTTGTATATCCAGATGAGGAAAGAAGGTATAATCTACAAGCTGCCCCAAAAGACGCAATATTTATATTAAATAACTTACAATCTTTCCACTATTTGGTAATTTAATTACAATCAATGGCAAGTGATTCCCTGCAAATTAATCCCTACTTTATACAACACATTACGCAAGAGCTCTCTGCAACCCAAGCAGAAATAGATATGGAATTCAAATGGAACTGGAAAGAGATATTTTGCCCAGTGAATGCATTTATTCCCAGAGCAACCCGATATTAAGCCAACAGGCTTGGACAGGTCTGTAGCAATTTTGAATTTGAATCTAGAAATCCCTTAGATCCAAGTTTTGCAAAGTCACCATAAAGCTGGATGTGAATTACCACAGTGGCAGCAACTTCCACAGGAATCACCTCTGCATTTACCAGACCTAGTGCAGCAGCTAACATATTACTTATGTTAAAAAGCAATAAAAAAAACCACAGCGACAAATTATTTGTTGTTCAGAGCATAATAAAGGGTTATCAATAAGCATAAGTCAAGATAGTACATGGATAATCATACTGAAATGTTCTTAAATGTTAAGATGAAGTAAAATAAAATACATCTTCATATATTTGAAGACTAAGTATTCAGAACAAAAAATAACTATTTCAAATTTAGATCCTGTTTCATTTAATCTTACTGTTTCTCAAGGAATATCTTAAATGATAGATTAGGTTCTTTTTGCTTTATCTTTGAAACAGCTGAAGGTTAGGCGGACTTGGTACATGGTTACCCAATAAACTTTATGACTCAGCAGGATCTGAACTGGATCAAAGTCCTGTACTATCCACTATAACACAATAACTAATGCGATATATACTAAGAATTACAAGCTTTATAGTTGGAACAAATGTCAACTGACATCCTATACTTATTTTGCAACACAGCAAGAACTTCTTAGAAAAACTAGAAAGAGGTCAATAGAATTATGCCACAGATCCATCAATCTACCTAGCTTTTTGTTTCCAGGGGCCACAGGGACCTCATCCAGCATTGCTAGGGATGAAGGAGCTGGAGACTGGTTGCTGGAGGCAGGTCTGGAGTGTGGCTTGCCAGCATTTCTCAATTCAGGTTGCACTCTGAGGGACTGAGTATTCTGGGAAGACCGCATGATTGCAGATTTTGGACACAAGTTGGTTATTCCATTTTCAAACTGAAACAATGCTGAGGAAGGGGGAAAAAACAGTCTTACTCTAAACATCCCGCAATCATAAAACAGCATAAAAAAGAACAATAGAGTAAGGGATATTATGTAGATGAGATCCCAAATTACTTTTCTAGGGTGTCTCTGTATGGTGAACATCTACCTACCTAGAATTTACATGGTACCCAATTTTCCATTTCAATACATTAACTGCCCATGGAATCCATGGACTTTCAAGTGAGACTATATAATTTAGTATAAATTCTAGTTGTCTATAGTTTCTCTCATCTTACTTTCATTCCCACCTCTTTCCCCTCCTTTGGAAACCTGGGAAGAGTCAAAGCTATTTCAAAAAGAATGGTTCACCTCCATTCTGTGACACCTGCTGATTGTGGAAGGCAAATTGTAATTGTTTTGTCTTTAAATACTGAAGTGTGGCAGAAGACACTGGAAGGAGAAAGCCTTCCTACTTTTTATATAGACTTATACAGATATTCTGATTTTTATAATAACGTAACAGACAACTAACCTGCCCCATCAGGACCCTCAGGCATAGCAGGCTCACTCTCCTCTAGCTCTCTTGCATCTATGGAAAGTGTATCCAAGCCTTCACTGAGTGAGTCCACAGACTCTGTGTCATTGGCCGAACCATTGACATGGTAACCATTAATCCCACCCTTCTCTGATGAAACTGCAGACTGTTCTTCTTCAGTGGCTGCTGGCTTGCTGGGGTCAGGAAGGTTGGCACTTGATTCTGCGGGGGTTTTTGATTTGGTTTTCTTCTTTTTGTTCTAGGATTAAGATACCGACATTATGAGAGAAAAAACTAAGCTTAATTCCTGATGTGAAACTGAGGTACTACTGCTTGAATATAAAATAATTACATTCTTCAGTAGTCAAGTCTTAGGACTGATCCCTTAAATGTGGGGCGGATTTATTTAATAGCCAGAACTGACAGACTGTGATATTAATGAGATTCAAGTGTGCTATGCATAGCAGCCATGTATGGAGAAAGGCAGTGGCTCTGAGGGATGTTAAAAATGCTGCTTTTTACCACAGATTAGTCTGAAGAACTGACTATTCTCAGAGATGTGTACATTCCACAGTTCCATACAAATACAGAAACAGACTGAATGTGGAATTAAGTCATCCAAGACTCTTTTCCATTTCCAACAATTACAGAAAAAATATGCCTTGTGAAATCTTAGAAGACAGGACAATGGCTGAGTCAGATTTCAAATAGTTAATGGGTGAGACCTTACCATCACCCATCTCCTTAACCTTTCTAAATTACTAAAAGAAGCAGAATTAATTAGTGTATGCTTGATTTTTATCATGGTTATATATCCATACTAATCTTTGCACACAGAATCTATATGGAAGGAGGTGAATGTTCTTGCATTTATATTGTATTTCTGGGCTTTCCATATTGATGGAGAATGCTGGACAAGTTAGACCCTGTTCTGATCCAGCAGGGGTCTTATGTTCTCACATACTGTATGTTCAGTGTTTCTGGGAAATCGCACCTGATGTTACAGAGTGTTCTAAGAAATATAAATGACTGCTGGAATTTTTGCTTCTCTCTCCCTTCCCCAGAGGTCTTTTTAAAAAGTCATTCCCTCTTACTGAAATTAGTGGGAATGAATTGAGTTGCACAACCTCAGTTATGCCACGTGACATCAGAAGCTAATGGGGCATGTCTCTCCCTTCATTGGGGTAACCAGATTTTGGGGACTAGCAGGTACTGTTGGAATTTCAGGATTACGTTGTGGGGGCTAACAGAGGGATGGAGATCCCTGACCATAATATTAAATAAATAAAAAATAAAACAGGGTAGTCTTACTATTTCCAAAATGACTGCAATAGGAAGAACAGCCAGTCACAAAATACTCATTTACCAGAAAACAAACTGATGAGATTGGTCCGTTTGGTATTGGTCCTTTTCTTATACCATAACTTACTTTTGTATTTTTTTCTAATCATGTGGGCACACTTATAACCAAAGCAGTCGACTAGAGTCACCAACAGTTTCATTTTCTAAGGAGGTATACAGTATCTCTTTGTAAATTTAGACTATGCCAGGAGTCAGCTCTTTGTTATACAGCATACTCACTTCCTTTTTTAAAAAAAAAAAGTTAAAAGAAAGGTGGGCATGGAATCCTGAAGGTACTAAGTGAGGGTCCTGCAGGTGATTTGGAACTTATAAATGCTCCACTGGGGATCCCAGCTCTACATCCTTGGTGGGGGAGCGAGGACCTATGAATGAGGAACTACAGCCTCTGGAATATCTGCCACGAGGACCAGAGATAATAACCAACAGCCTCATTATAATTCAGTAGAATGCTCTACCAAAGCAAGCTCAAGACCAAATGAAGACTTGCCTTTTTTTTGCCAGTTACCGTCCATTCTTTCAACACTGCAGTAGCACTACCTGTTAAAAAAAAAAAAAAATCACATAATTATTAAGGTTCATGTGCTCATGTGAATTTATTTTCTGGTCAAAAGATAGAAGACAGCATATTTTGTTAAAAAAAAGAGTGTGTGGTTCTTAAGGTGAGACACAGGATATGTCACTGAAGTTTTAAGTCTTTAAAATTTACCTTAAAAAATCAATATAATAACAAAATTTAATTAATTAATTAATTAATTAATTAAACAAATTTATATGGCCACCCAACTCACACACGGTGACTCTGGGTGGCTTACAGAATTAAAACCCATAATACAAAAAACAATAAACCCCACCCCTATCCCACTGGCAGCAACAAACATATTTATTAATTTATTAAACATAATAAACATAAAATGCCTATAAATATGTAAATGTATTCTTGGGAAGAGTGAGCTTTTTGCTTTTCTATCATGGTGGGACCTGCATTGTTTTCCAGAATAATTGGTGGAATTTAAAATACAAAGATGGTCTTCATATTTTTGTATAAAATACAAAGGTCTACTTTGTACAATTTTATAAAATACAAAAGGTCTACAAGATGTTGAGTAGAAAGTAAGTTGCTAAATGGATATCTTCGGGCCACTGTTTAACGGACTTCTGAGGCAGAAATGGTGAAATGAAGATGACTCCACGGCACAATGGGGAGCTGGCAAGTAGACCAGCTCTTTGTAATTCCTCTCTGGACAAGGAGAGGACTTGAGATTGCCCACAAGTACTCCAGACAGTTGCTCCTCGTGAGGAAACCGCAAGGCAGCGGTCTCCAGCAGGTTTAGAGTGCTGGGAGACGAGGCAATAGCCATCTTCGCTCAAACCGCAGTTGGCGTCTTTATAGACACTGGGTATGCATACTTCCTCTTCTAACTGCTTTTGGAAATACAATAGCTGCTTTTCAGCTATTAGGAACCTTTGGATCAACTGGTTTTACACCACCGAGTTACCTTTAATCCTTAGCAAAAAAAGTTTTAAATACAAGTTTAACAACTTAAAAAAACTTTTTTTTTGGAAGAAACAGCAAAAAGGTGATTAGAACATTGATTTTAGAAAGTTACAAATGGGTCCAGATGGATTTGAAATAAGATTCTGAAATTAATTATAAGAATCCTTCCCACAGGAAAATCCTTTTGTTTTGAATTCTTAAAAAACACACACACACACACATGATAGGATGGGACTTTGAAGCTTGGACACTCAAGAGAACCAGAAGGAACTAAAGGTTACAATTAAAGGAGAATATTTTAACATTGGACGATATATTTGAACAATGGACTCAGAAGTTAATTTTAAGAGTGTCTGCCCTTATAGATAAACTGTTTAAAAGATGTTATGGAAGAGAAACAAGTTTTACTGGACAAGACTGAAACCAATCTGAAAGTGGATTTAAAAATGACAGGCTACAAGAATGATATGGAAAAAAAATACTACACTGGCTATACAAATGAAACTGACTGATGTCTTAGTAATTAAAAGGGATATACAAATAACAAACCGAAAGAGTGACCTGGATAACTTTCCTATATTGGATTTACAAAAGAGACTTGTTAAAGCTTTGAAGAATTTTGTGAGAAGGGACAAAGAAAAAATGAAAAGAAATCAAATTCTACGACATTATTTGAAATTTACAAAAGAGACTTGTTAAAGCTTTGAAGAATTTTGTGAGAAGGGACAAAGAAAAAATGAAAAGAAATCAAATTCTACGACATTATTTGAAGGGATTAAAGATCAAGATTGTTTAAAGGAAGAAATATAAAGTTGGCTTATTTGATTGTTAAAATAGATATGTTGTCTCCTTAATGGACTTTTGCTGATCAGAACTGAACGACGAGGTTTTAAGGATTGGTTTATAGATAAGAAATGAGATATGGGAAGAAGGGATCATCTGTTGTATTTTAAGAGAAAAGTTACTAAAATTGTTTATACTTGTTGTAATGAAGGGGGAATTCATTTCTTCATGTATTTCTTTTCTTTTTCTTTATTATATTCTTACTTTTTTCTTTCTTTTCTATTTTTCTTTCTTTTTGCACTTTCTATTTTTTCTTTTTATTCTTTTATTTTTTTAGTTTGTATTAGTTTTTATCTTTTTAATTGTAATGTTTAATCTTTTTTCTTTCTTTTCTATTTTTCTTTCTTTTTGCACTTTCTATTTTTTCTTTTTATTCTTTTATTTTTTTAGTTTGTATTAGTTTTTATCTTTTTAATTGTAATGTTTAATAAAATTACTATTAAAAAACGATATCTTCAGGCCCCTCTTTAGACAAAGTGGTTTTGTATTATAGTGACAAGATTTTAGGATTTCTATGTTTACCAGAGTCTTTTTAAGACTAATTTATTGAAGCCAAAAGGCAATAAATGGTAGTGAGTAGAAACCAAAAATTTCAGTTCCTGAAATCTATTTTCCAATTAATTTTAGTACCTAATGAAAAGCATCAAACCACTTGATCATTTCAGTACTGAACAATATTTTGGAAGGGGTCTCAGAAAAATGCTTTTCCAGTCTAGGCCTTGAAATGCACAATTCTAAGCTCAACCAGAAAGGCTTGTTTTCAGAAGTCTTAAATAGACTGTGAAAGAAGACATAGGATAAAACCAAATTTAGAATAAAGAATGAAACCTTTCTTTTAAAAAACTATGAAAAAAGCCTAAATTGCTTAGAGCAGAAATGTACAACACCTTCTGGGCTAAAAGCAGTGGGTTTAGTCACCTCAAAAAAACATTAATTTCATTTTTATTTAATAAAAATTAAAGTTAATATGGAGGGCACTTAATGCTTCTCCCCTTCTGTCACATTTAAAATGACGATCTTTAACAACCTTTGGGGTCTCTGGGGCAACACAAAGCTTTCAAAGGCAGCATGTAAACATCACAAGTAGTTCCTGCCAAGCCTCTCATTAGGCCAGGAAAATTTCAGTTTCCATGAGTTTCCATGAACATGCATAAATGAGTTACGAAGAAAACTTGTGAATATACATTGCTATTGAAGAACACAAAACTCAATAGCTAAGCAAAATTTTAACTGAATGCACCATTCACTTTTCTCCACCCCAGGCACCCATTTCTAGTCTTCAGCAATAAAAATAGAACTTAGAAATGTATCTAATAAAAAGGGCATAGAGACATTTTATATTTCCTGCATAACTTTAACCTTCACATAGAAAGTTTAAGTCTTGTAAAATGTACTCCAAGTACCATGCAAAACTTGTAAGCCGTGTTCCTTTGTTATATTTTTTGAAATACCACAGTATCAGGAAACGAAGGAATGTATAAACATGTTTTAATAAGCGAGTAATTCTTTAACAGTCTGTAATTTCATAATAGTAAGTGTATATGTTAAGTGACAGCCCACGGCTTTTTTTCCATCACCGATTTAGTTTTTGAAGCCTGCCAGAAAACATTTCAGGTAGAAACTAAGAACTTACCTTCCATGAAAGCCTGTACAGTTCGATCTACACAGTTATCAAAGTGCTGCAGCACTAGGATAATCTCATTGTTGCTGCGGTTAGGGACTATTGCTCTCACAGCACTAATCTAGAAAAATGAGATAGGCAGGTCACACGTTAACCAATTACTTCCAAGACAAATATGTGCTACTGCAAACACAAGGGAAAAATTAGGTTTCTATTCTTCTAAGTTGATGTCAGTTTCGTTTTTAGCTCTGGGAACAGCCCATTCATTTCTTCTCTGGCAGCAACATATCCCAAGCACTTATGCTACAGCTGCAAACGGCACGAGCCCACAGCATGAATAAAGCCATCCGGCTTCCACTGGTTAAGTTGTCACTGAAAAGCAAATACTATGACTCAATATGCTCTCAAACAGGTTCTGACCAGAAAACCTTGCCCCCAAACCAAAGGCAGCTAAAAAAAAAAGGAAAAAAATATGTTCAGCCATAGCACAAGCTATCTATCAATACATGTTGAGATTGTGGAAGAAGCAAGACACCACTTCTAACAGTAAAAGGATCAGAAGAACAGTAAGAGGCCTGCTTATTTTAAGCTGAACACATCCATGTATTCTCTATTCATAGTTCTCATCATATTTTCTGACTTTCAAAACAACAATACATTATTTTAAGCTCTTGCTGAAGTAACTGCTAAGGTATTACTTACCTTCTCTTTCATGTTTTCAAAGGTACCTCCTTGGGCCATCACAGTATTCGACTGTACATCAAAAATAAATCCTGACAAATCTGAAAGAGATTAATGTTCAGAATGAGAGGCAGCAAGAAGGAAGAAATTAAGGTCAGAGACTAGCTGTAGTTATAGACTGTTCTGTGCAGAATCATATAAATAGTAGGCTGAAAATTATGCTAGAATAACTCAGCCAATCCCTGGAAGCAATAACATGCAGGCACACACCCCCCGGGAGAGGAAGAAAACGTAGCAGTTTCACCTGTTGAGCATCACAGCATTAGTATAAACTTCCTTGAAGTAGGGTTCTGAAACAAATAGCTCTGGCGGTAGCGCAAAACTGGTCAAATATTAAAACCTGTTCCAGAAAACATTTCAGCTGAATAGTTTTCAAAGTCAGAACTTTAGATTCCTGAGTATTTCCTGAATATTTCCTGAGACATACTAAAGGTTTTTTTTAATGTTCATCACTGGATTTTATGAAATTTTCAGGGTAATTCTATTTTTAGACCAAAATTATAGCAAGTTGTATGTCCTGCTGGCTGTAAACTTTTTTATGGCTATTCTCTCCATGTTCCAAGGCAGCACTGCTGGTCAGTCATTAGCTGGTTGCTTGGGAAAAACTCATGTGATGCAGCTGAGGTCATTGTAAAAGCAGTGAAGAATCAGTTCTTACTTTCAAGATTGCTGGGGAAAAGTGATAGGGTTTAACTGTCCTCCAGTGATTCCATACCAAAGGTCTACTATGCTCTTCCTAGTCCACAAAAAATAATAAGTTATGTGGAAGAAGTATAAATTTCACCCCTTCTCTGCCTCAAGTTGGCATTGGCCCACCAACTCAGATCAGAATTCAAAATATATAGCAGTGGAATGCATAACAATAATCTGGAATCCACTATATTTATTGAAACTCACAGCAGGAGTGTCAGGTTGAGTGGGTAGAGCAGTTTATCAAGAGACACACCAGTTCTATTTCTATTCTAACCCAATCATTTTTGAAAATGTTATTATATTGTTGAAATTCTTCTACATTGGCCAGTTTGGCTAAAAGAAAAACATCCAGAAGGATCACAAAAGCAATGAAGGAATGTAACCTCTATCAACATCAGCAATATAGTTTTAATTATGACAATTGAACCAATTTCAATACTGTATTAATTTTCTTGCTTTTTGCTAATCCAAAGATAAGGTACTAAATCTATGCAGATGAATCCACTTCAGCCCAAGACTTTACTCAATATTTAATACTGCCTCTCTTCTGGATGTATAAGCTGCTGGAGTTCTGTAATGCATTCATTAGATCTACTAGCTATTATAATTTTCACAAAAATGTTTATATGTTCTGCTTTTGTACATGCCACAAAATAGGTATTCCAGTGCTATCCTTTTATCAATTCTAGACCTAAATAAAGGATAAAGCAGCATAAATATCCAGCTGGTGATGCAGAAATCAGTATTTTATCTGATTTGGCTGATATATTAATATGCATAATGCATTTATGCTCTCCAAAAGACTTGGGGTCTTTTTACTTTACAAAGAAATAGTTGAAAAAGCAGTTTGGGGGGAATCAATTAATTGCTCCTCTTAGATCCTTAAAAAAATCTCAACTTGTTTGTTAATGATTTAACAGTCCTCTTTTCACAAGAATACACTTACACCATAATGAGTGCACAAAGAAGTCGTCAAGCATTATTTTGTGACTCTAAAAGAACACAGCACATAGCACCTCTTCATTAGATACAGTCTCTTCCAGGGACAATATTAACTATTGCAACTGCTTCACTGTTCAGCCCTTTCTTTCACAGACAAAAGCATATGCAAGTAGTTGTCACAAGTAATTCGCATTCAGATTACCATTCAATCATGTTTCATAGATACTAATTATTAAAGTAACTAAAATACTGGAAAGAACCCATTCACCATAGCAATAGTATATTTGTTATTTGCTGACTGCATTCATATAACCAATTATATTGACACTATTTTAGTAAATAAACAAAGAACTCAGTCAGGTGTTCACAAGCCTTTTTTCCAAGCTCCTTATTAAGATGAAACCCAAACATGGAATATTCTATCAATAATAATGCCAGCAAGGAAATATTTAATAGCGCTTTTATTTACTTCAATTTAGTACATTAGAAAACAGACTGCACATTAATTTTAAGGTTATACAGTGGTACCTCGGTTCACGAACGCTTCTGTCCACGAACAATTCAGTTCACGAACAGCTCCGTTCGCAAAATTTTGCCTCTGTTCGCGAACGCCAGATCGGGTTACGAACAGGATCTGCAGCCATTTCCCCTCCCGTGACACGTGGTCACGGCTTCCTGTAGGGAGGGGGACTCCAACTCCAAACAATAACCGCCT